TTTTATTGCCTATCATCAAGAAGCACTAAGCAATTATCACTTTTGTACCGTATATTATTTCAGACTAACGACTTGTCTCAGGTTGAACCAACAAGGCACTCAAGTCGACGAGATAAAGAGAAAGGTTAGTGTAAACAGTGATTCTTGAGAATGCTACTAATTGTACACAGCACTTTTTCATCCTTTTAAAAAATTGGAAAAAAAAAGTTGCTGTTACGTTTATCCCCATATCTGCTTCTACTGATATACAATATGAACAGTTTGGCGTCTTTCAAATTACATTACCATTTTTACTTACAATTTGCTGTATTAGGGAAAAGTTTTCTGCACTTATGAAGTTTTTAATTTCTGTAAAAGTCGCCTGAACAATGACTTCGCAATGGTTTTATAGTGGAAATTTTCTTGCACTTTTAGCTCTTTGTGCTGTTGCAAAAAAAAAAAAAAAATTTTATGCTGCAATGAATATAAATTTTTTGAAAATAAAAAAGAATTATGCCACAGTTCGACCCGTGTTCGTACGGCGGTTATTCAAACGTTCCTTGAATACAGTCTGAATTGTTCTTACATGAAATAGGGGTAGGATATTGGTTAATGTAATTGAAAGGCCAAACTGTGTATATCATATGAAGTTTTTTTTTTTTTGGGATGTTGGAGACAATAAATGGAAATGCTAGTTTAGCCAGTACCTATTTCTGGTAATTTTTTCTCAACCACATATCAAACAAAGGCAAATAGAGGTGTTTTTATTACCTTTAATGATTATTTTAATTTTCCTCTTTTTTTTTTTTCAAAAAGAGAAGAAAAAAAAATGCAGCTACTTTTGAATAAAAAAAGAGGCAATAGAACAGCAGTAACATTAATATTCTAATAAAGTTTTATTGGAAAAAATAATGATGCTAAAGGATCAAAATTATTTTTTTTTGTTGTATTGTCATTTTTTGCAGTAAAGAAAAGCGATAGTGATGTGTTGACAAGTGGAAGCCAACAACAACAACAACAACAACAACAACAACAGCAACAAC